CCTAAGCAAGGACAAACTGTCAAACTTTCAAAGTTCTAAAATATTCCAACTCCTCTAGATTTCAGAAAATTTCGGCAACGCTTCTCGTAGGGAAAGTGCCTTTGCAGAATTTATGTAAGACTGAATATAAAATTCGAAAGTGATTTTTTATTTTACAGAATCAAATTTTGTTTAACTCCCTGAATTAGTAAAACATTGAACAACATATGTTTTAGAAAAATAGGTTTTCCAAATTTATACTAAGTTAGATATGAACTCAAAACTTGAATTATGTCAGGACAAAACATTAACTAACTTTTTTAATTCGTTGAAATTTCGACAACACTATCTCGTGATAAATGTTTTTCCAAAAATTATACACAAATACAAAATTTTAAAAATAACTTTGACTTTACAAAGTTAAATTTTGTCTAACTCTCTGGTTTAGTAAAACTTTGGGCAGCACCTTCCCTATAAAAGTAGGTTTCTCTTATTTTTACTAAGTCGAAAATGAAACTCAGATAAAAGTTGGATTTTGTAAAAATAAAAATTAACTAACTCTTTTGTTTTGCAAAAATTTGGACAGCATATTCCTTAGTGAAAGTGCCCTTTATAAATTTTATATAAAGTCAAGTGTGAAAATAAACTTAACTCAGAAAATGCAGAAACTGAACTAACTCCTACAGCTCCTGCATGTGGCAAACATCTAAAACAACTACCTATCAAAGCTAGGACTCAAAACAAGTTGAACTCACACTAAATTATATGTAACTTCATACCACAATGAGTACGTTCTATCACCAAAAAAATCCCAAGTTGTTTCTCACATAAATAGTTTATTAACTCTCAGTTGGATAAACCCCAATACTCTGACTTACATATGGCATAAAAAGGTTAAGCCAAACCGAAACTACATTGCTTAACCTTTGTCTTTGTATACATAAAGAGAAGACACATTTATTTTTTGTTTTCTTCAGACAACCAACTAGATCAAACTTGACGTCAAATTGTCTAAGCCTTCCCAAGTGTTTAATATCGAAGTTTTATTACTTCATTGATCCCTCAATCTTTTGAAGACGAAGACTTTTCCTAACCGAAACCACATTGCTCAGTCCGCCCTTTTACTTACACTTATTATATTCTTAAGTACGTGTTTTGTTTCTTTTTTTGATAAGTTATAATCAGATCAAACTGAAGCCACATTGTTCGATTAATTTTGTTTAATAAAGTCATATTTTCAGATTCTTATTCTATGTGTGCGACCTCATACTAGGCCTAATCGAAGCCACATTGCCTAGTCAGCAGTCCAAACCTCCCTCATAAAGAAAATATTAATTGGGTCTGACCAAAGCCACATTACCCAACTCTTAAACCCTTTCCAAAGACAGATTACCACAAGAACAACAAGCCAAATTGGCCGAAGTCACATTGTATGGTTAGGGTAAGGAACATAACGACACAACATAGTCAACTAGGTCAAACCGAAGCCATATAGCCTAGCTACATGGTTAAACATTTGTAGAGGTATGACAATCAGACTTGACGGAAACCACATTATTTGACTGTCAAAAAAATAAGACAATACAATAGTCAAGCCCGACCGAAGCCACATTGCTTGGTTGTAAAGAAGACAAATCAACAAATATTACCTGAACCTTTAGGGACCCAATTAATGCAAAAAAAACTACCTTCTTGCCACCTTTTCCTAATTTATCTCCTTTAATCTAAATTTCAAGAAGTTGAATAGATGAATTTCATAAATGCGTTCCTTTTACTTAATAAAGTAAAATCCATAGGGGTATATATACATATAGCAATCAAAGTAGAGAGGTATATTGATTAGGGGATTACTAGGTTCACACACGACAGAAAATGATATGCCTCCACAACTCCTCTTGAGTCTCGACATTGCTCCCGCAATCGGTGGGTGGACCTCCCACAAGGTACTGCTGTGGTCTTGTGGGTTGCAATCATACATGTCGCCTTCATCTCCGAAGCAAAGATTAGGATTAGGGTGAGAAAGGAAGACAAAGGGAAGTAGGACTCTCGAGATACAGGAAAGAGTCACTCAAACTCGCGTGAGAATTCTTTGTTATCTTCAATCTTCAAAGGCCCCCGCAATGATGGCCAACTACAACGGTCTCTATCAATCAAATACCGATGATACCACGACTATCAAAGCAACAACGACCCGCAACAGCTGGAAACAGGCGGCAACACTCCTCAAAGGTAAAACAATGTTGCCTTGTACGACACAACACTTTGTTGCGCAGTTGCAAACAACGTGAGAGTTGAGTGTGGTAAAACTTAGTATCTACCAACTACCTCAGCAACCTCCAATCACACAGGTTGAGTTCGGCAGCATCCTGGCGAAGCAGAAATACTAATTAGCATCCTCTCGCTGTTCGTTCAACAATTCACCCAGACCGTAATGACTGCAATAGCATATACCCTCTAATCATAGTCGCGCAACCCCTACAACATTCCGTACAGACTACGACATCTGCGACAACGAAGCATGAATTAGCAATAGCAACGGCTCCTCTGCCACAACCTTCCCCATAGACTGAATATCACAGCAACTTGGAGAAGGAACGACACGTAGATCAGGTAGTTGACTCAATACCAGGTGCAGGAGTCACCCTAGCTGTAGCAGCAACGCTCTGCCCTACTCAGCACAGTGTAATTCATCAAATTTGTTGTATTAGTCAAGCAACACCCGTCTAGATCACAATAGCGAATGTATGACATCGACCAGATTAGCAACTACAGGTACGATGAGCATCACCCAGATCAAAATGAACATCAGGTTGTTGAAACTACGACGGATGTGTTAACCACCATGTCGAGAAATATGAGGCCGGAGCCACATCTCTACGATGAGCAATATAAGTAGTGTCGGGGTCAATCATCAGCACCACGATCACTATGGCAAGTACGTGGGGTAGCCCTGACTGGGATCGTGATGATGAATGTGGGTAGGCGGACAGGGAGCCTCACTCCGCCATTCTCCAGGTGTGCAAAAATGAGAGTGAATCTTTCGCTGAAACATGGAAGACTACACTTTCACGTTTGAGAGTGAATCCTCCGCAAGAACATGGGAAGATACATAGCAACTTCCATGTCGCTATTGCTCCCTACTACAAGCTGGAGATGAACCTTCCTCAAATACTCGATAAGATGCAACCGCGCTGTCGGAGGGCGCGACGTCCCAGCCCTCCTCCGTGTACCAAGTCCCTACTTGGTACCACTCTTAGTTTTAGGGTTGCAATCTGAAGCTACTCCTGAAACACTATAACACTTGGTACCTGGGTTATACCATGACGTGGACCGGACCTGCTTGACGCTTGCCTCAACAAAAAGGTGCACCGCAGGGCTTTCCATTGGTCCACGCAGGCTCGACGCCCTGCTGTACAGTAGAGCACAACCGGCTTGTGACCGTGGTAGCCGTCGGACTCGCCCTGGGACGCGAAAGTAGAAAGATAGGTGTTGTCTTTTCTATTATGCACCAAGCGCCCCTCTACAGGGTTATGGGTCAGGTGCATGACACTGACAGCAGTCCGAGAAAACAGAAAGTTAAACAAAAAGCAGCAAGAAAAAAAAAATGGAAAAGAAAACCAAAGGTCTAATTAATGCGGTTGGACTACTAGCTTTAGTTCGGGGGAAATCTGACGGCCCCTGAACCCCAGTTATCGTTGTGTCTCACTTTTTTTTTTTTTTTTTTTTTTTTTTTTTTTTTTTTTTTTTCCCCTTTTCACTTTTTTTTATTGGCCTGTCGTTTCATAGGGAGGCCAACACGAC